ACACTTCAATACCTTTCTACTATTGCTTTGACAGAACCATCTTTGTGTCACCCCATCAACCTTGCTTGATGTTATTACAGTACTTTAAGTTACATTTGTGGTTTTATTAACTCCAAATATCAAACCAGTATTACTTATCTTGGGCTCCACCTGCCGGCCTTGAAACAAGCATAAGTGTTTATAGGTCCTACATAAACAGCCTAAACTTTTTTTTTTTATTCAGACAAAAGTGTTAAGCCAGATAAAACAGAGCTACCCCCTAAAATAGCAGCAACACTTAACTGGCAAAGGAGGCAAGTAATGTATTTTGGTACCTTCTTTGATCAAGGCTGACACTGCACTTGCAACACCTGTTGAGGTTTTATACCCAGGGCTGGATGTTAGCATTATAATTCTTAAACAGAAGCACACTGTAAGTCAGACTCAAACTGGGATATTCTAAAATTCACGACAATTAACAAACACTAAGAGGAAAAAAAACCCTGAAGAGAAGCAGTCATAGACACCATAAGTACCTAAATATTCAATGAGAAAATCTTTATACAGGTGTCATCCTTTTGGGGTCATGTTCACATGAAAGTGGGTGCTGCAACTATGGGGTGGGAGAGGTACATTGCACAGAGCTGGCATCGCAGAGCAGATGTGCTCAGTAGCCTCCTCCCCAGATGTGCTCAGCAGCCTCCTCCCCACCCAGCACAGCAGATGTGCTCAGCAGCCTCCTCCCCACCCAGCACAGCAGATGTGCTCAGCAGCCTCCTCCCCAGATGTGCTCAGCAGATGTGCTCAGCAGCCTCCTCCCCACACAGCTCAGTCCCCACAGACAGAGGGGGCGAGAAGATGAAAAAGATTAGGCTAGCACTGCCTTCCACTTGCAACTGGATGCTACAGCAAGTCCAAAGCTTGATCAAAAGCTGACTTGTCGAGCAGAAAATGTGTCTTCAGAACCATCCTTAGAGATGCAGGAGGTGGCTTAGTTCAAGCAGAAAAGGCTAAATTGTGGCACAACACTTGCCTTCTGGTTTTCTTTCTGAAGACAAGCCAGAATATACATACTGTGAAACATGGCAAAATCTGCAGAAAGGGAGAAAAAACCCTCCACTCTAAGATGGAGACAGTGAAGACTTACTGCCTTCTGGATAATGAGCTTTTATAAATTCTGCTTTGATTATTCCTAGTCAATAAGACAACAGTTACCAAGGATGACACGATCAGCAACAATCTCCTATTTGTGTAATGTTTCTAGTTTGCTGTCCAACTTATGCCTAATACACACAAACCAGCTTGACAAGAATCACAAACATCCTGTAATTAAGCGTTCTGCTCCAAATGGCACCGCTAATTTGGAAACGGCATTCTAGTAACTAACGTTCTTGTTCTGTGCTGCTGGGCTCTGTTACACAGTACAGTGTGTTTGGCTCATTTGAAGGACCTGTTAAAAGCCTGAGTGGATACACACCAGCATAAGGTAGTGTTTAGAGGAACTACCAAGAGACCCAAATATGATAGATTGTGTATGCTCTTTTCATAGGGTTCTACCATCATTTGGTTGATTAGAGGCAATCAGTTCACAATTTGGCATAAAACTATTCTACCCTTAAGAATTCCCAGTAGCAGGCTTTGAAAAATGAAGCCATTTGTTATGTATTTTGTTTTCGCAAATGAAGCATCATAAATAACATCTGTCAGTTACCACAGTGATCTCCAGTGCTTCTCACCTGATCCAAAACTATTGTTTAGGTGCAGTCTAAAACACAGCTAGAAATCATTTATCACTGGAATCTGCTAGTTTTACGTACCACAAAAATAACTCGTGGTCAGCAGAGTCCAAAACTATTTTACTGTCTCTTTTGAATATGTCCAAATGAAGCTGAGCACTACAGTCCTTGAATGCCCATTAAAGGGCCATAAAACTGGATGCACTTTCTTGCACTAGTGGAATGAAATTTTTTTTTAATATGGAACTTTAAAACCATCAAAGAGATGATCGATTAGTTATAAAAAGTAATCTATGTTTTTCCTCCAGAGAAAAGTGTCTCACGGCTGCATTTTTAAAGCACTTTACTGTTTTATTTTTGCACTTCCCTTGTGTAGCACATGCTCCTGTATAGCAATACTAATAGTTAAAGACCAGCTGGAATAGATGGATCTCTAATTTAATGCCTTTCAGGTTGCTCTGCATACAGATTGTAACTGACCCTACCAAGGTGAAGAGCCAGTCTTCACTGCAAGAGACAACAATGCAAAGTACAACGCTTATGAAAAACAGAAAATAACACATAAGGTGCATGCCATTCCCAAGTTTAATGAGCTCGTTTTATTTTCAGCTGCATAATTTCTCTCCTACTAGATTAAGTCCACTGTACAGCTCCAGTGAGAAACAAAGGCCAGTAAATATAACCTTTCACCACAGCATGTTTTAGAAGCATTTGCAAGGATGGAGTAGAAGAGCCTTTCCCCCACTTTCTCAAGAGTACAGACTTCTCCTTTGCCACGGATCTGCAGACCCAGAGCCTTCTGCTGGACCTTTTTCCTTAGGCAAAAACTGTATTTTTAGCTTGCACAATTCTTAGGTTTTCTTCAGTGAGGAACCACCAAAAAAGACGTCAGTAGTTTCCAGCGTCTTTCCGTGACAATTTCTTGCCCTCAAAGTGTCACCGCATATTAAAAATTAATTAAAAAGCTACTTTATTACTCTTGTACAATTACAATTACTCTCGTACGTGACGCAGGTACCAACCGGCCGCCACCCGCGCAGGAACGCGCTGCCACAGCACAGCCAAAGGAACGGGGGCGAGCCCACACTTCAAATGGGGGCTTTTAGGATAAAAATCCGAAGGAAATGGCGCTCAGCAGCAGCGCTCTGCTCGGAGGGGAGGCCGGGGCGGCGGCCGGGAGGGGCACTCGGAGCCCCCCCAGACAGGAGCCCGTCAGCTCCCGGCCGGTCGTGGCGGAGGAAGCGACCCCGGGCTGTGCCCGAGCCCGTCCCTCAGCTCGGCCCCCCCGGCCCCTCGCTCACTCACTCCCTCACTCACTCACCAGCGCCGGCTCCGCGTCCCCCGCGCCGCTTCCGGAGCGCGGCCGGGCCGGGGCAGCGCCCGCCCCTCAGGGGGACGGGCCGACAGCGGGCCCGGCTCCTCCTCCCGCCGCACTGCCGGCACCGGCACGGCTCCCTCGGGGTGCACACACCTTCCCTGCACCGACACCCCTTCCTCAGGGTCCACACACCTTCCCTGCACCGACACCCCTTCCTCAGGGTCCACACAC